ATATATGCCTGTTTAATCTTCACATGTTTCCAAAAACGGAAATGTTTTTTTTTTGGTTTTTAAGCTCGCTTTGAAAACAGCAAACAATATTTGTGATTTACCCTACCCCTTTTGGTATCCCCCAAAACCCATTTTCGGTCAAACTTTTACCTTGGTTTTTTCCGCATGTCATACAATAGGACATCTTTGAACAAATTAAGGAGGTGTAATTCCCAATAAACCGGGGCCCAAAAAAGAGACTCATAGACACTCATGCTTTCCAACAGTTTCGGTACACACAGGTTTCAGCACACACACGTTTCGGTACACACATGTTTTAGTACAATTACGTTTAAGTACACATGTTTCGGTACACACAGGTTTCGGAACACACACGTTTCGGTACACACACGTTTCGGTACACACACGTTTCAGTACACATGTTTCGGTACACACACGTTTCGGTACAAACATGTTTCGGTACACACACGTTTCGGTACACACACGTTTCGGTACACACATGTTTCGGTACACACAAGTTTTAGTACACACATGTTTTAGGACACACACGTTTCGGTCCACACATGTTTTAGTACACACACGTTTCGGTACACACATGTTTTAGTACACACATGTTTCGGTACACACATGCTTCAGTACACACATGTTTCAGTACACACACGTTTCGGAACATACACGTTTCGGTACACACACGTTTCGGTACAAACACGTGTCAGTACACATGTTTCGGTACACACACGTTTCGGTACACACATGTTTTAGAACACACATGTTTCGGTAGACACACGTTTCGGAACAAACGTGTTTTAGGACACACACGTTTCGGTACACACATGTTTTAGAACACACACGTTTCGGTACACACATGTTTTAGTACACACATGTTTCGGTACACACACGTTTCGGTACACACATGTTTTAGTACACACATGTTTCGGTACACACATGCTTCAGTACACACATGTTTCAGTACACACACGTTTCGGAACACACACGTTTCGGTACACACACGTTTCAGTACACAAACGTTTCAGTACACATGTTTCGGAACACACACGTTTCGGTACAAACATGTTTCGGTACACACACGCTTCGGTACACACACGTTTCGGTACACACATGTTTCGGTGAACACATGTTTCGGAACACACACGTTTCGGTACAAACGTGTTTCGGTACACACACGTTTCGGTACACACACGTTTCGGTACACACATGTTTCGGTAGCCACACGTTTCGGTACAAACGTGTTTTAGGACACAAACGTTTCGGTACACACATGTTTTAGTACACACACGTTTCGGTAAACACATGTTTCGGTACACACATGTTTCAGCATACACACGTTTCGGTACACACATGTTGTAGTACAAACACGTTTCGGTACACACATGTTTTAGTACACACACGTTTCAGTACACACACATTTAGGTACACACATGTTTTAGAACACACACGTTTCGGTATAAACATGTTTTAGGACACACACGTTTCGGAACACATATGTTTCAGCATACACACGTTTCGGTGAACACATGTTTTAGTACACTCACGTTTTAGTACTCACACGTTTCGGTACACACACATTTCGGTACACACATGTTTCGGTACACACATGATTCGGTACACACACATTTCGGTACACATACGTTTCGGTACACACATGTTTCAATACACATACGTTTCGGTACACACATGTTTTAGTACACACACGTTTTAGTACACACACGTTTCGGTACAAACATGTTTTAGTACACACACGTTTGGGTACACACATGTTTCAGCATATACAAGTTTCGGTACACACATGTTTTAGTACACACACGTTTCGGTACACACATGTTTCAGTACACACATGTTTCAGTACACACACGTTTCGGCACACACACGTTTCGGTACACACATGTTTCGGTACACACATGTTTTGGTACACACACGTTTTAATACACACATGTTTAAGTACACACACGTTTTAGTACACACACGTTTCGGTACACACATGTTTCAGGACACACATGTTTCGGTACACACATGTTTCAGTACACATACGTTTCGGTACACACATGTTTCAGCATACACACGTTTCGGTACATACATGTTTCAGTACACACACGTTTCGGTACACACATGTATCGGTACACACATGTTTCAGTACACACACGTTTCGGTACACACACGTTTCGGTACACCCACGTTTCGGTACACACATGTATCAGTACACACATGTTTCAGTACAACCCGTTTCGGTACACATACGTTTTAGTACACATACGTTTAGGTACACACATGTTTCGGTACACACACGTTTTAGTACACACATGTTTCAGTACACACACGTTTTAGTACACACACGTTTCGGTACACACATGTTTCAGTACACACATGTTTCAGTACACACACGTTTCTATACATACACGTTTCGGTACACACACGTTTCGGTACACACATGTTTCGGTACACACACGTTTCGGTACACACATGTTTCGGTTCACACACGTTTCGGTACACATACGTTTCGGGACACACATGTTTCGGTACACACATGTTTCAGCATACACACGTTTCGGCACACACACGTTTCGGTACACACATGTTTCAGTACACACACGTTTCGGAACACACACGTTTCGGTACAAACATGTTTCGGTACACACACGTTTCGGTACATACATGTTTCAGTACACATACGTTTCGGTACACACATCTATCAGTACACACACGTTTCGGTACACATACGTTTCGTTACACACATGTTTCAGTACACACACGTTTCGGAACACACACGTTTCGGTACACACACGTTTCAGTACAACACGTTTCGGTACACATACGTTTTAGTACACATACGTTTAGGTATACACATGTTTCGGTACACACATGTTTCAGCATACACACGTTTCGGCACACACACGTTTCGGTACACACATGTTTCTGTTCACACATGTTTTAGTACACAGACGTTTCGGTACACACATGTTTCAGCATACACACGTTTCGGTACATACATGTTTCAGTACACACACGTTTCGGAGTACACACAAGTTTCGGTACACACATGTTTCAGCATACACACGTTTCGGTACATACATGTTTCAGTACACATACGTTTCGGTTCACACATGTTTCAGTACACATACGTTTCGGGTACACACACGTTTCGGTACACACATGTTTCAGCACACACACGTTTCGGTACATACATGTTTCAGTACACACACGTTTCGGAGTACACACAAGTTTCGGTACACACATGTTTCAGTACACACCCGTTTCGGTACACACATGTTTCAGCATACACACGTTTCGGTACATACATGTTTCAGTACACACACGTTTCGGTACACACACCTTTCGGTACACCCATGTTTCGGTACACACATGTTTCAGTACATACACGTTTCGGTACACACATGTTTCAGCATACACACGTTTCGGTACATACATGTTTCAGTACACACACGTTTCGGTACACACGTACACACACGTTTCGGTACACACACGTTTCAGTACAACACGTTTCGGTACACATACGTTTTAGTACACATACGTTTAGGTACACACATGTTTCGGTACACACATGTTTCAGTACACACAAGTTTCGGTACACACACGTTTCAGTACACATGTTTCGGTACACACACGTTTCGGTACAAACATGTTTCGGTACACACACGTTTCGGTACACACACGTTTCGGTACACACATGTTTCGGTACACAGACGTTTCGGTACACACATGTTTTAGTACACATACGTTTCGGCACAAACATGTTTCAGTACACACACGTTTCGGTACACACATGTTTCTGTTCACACATGTTTTAGTACACAGACGTTTCGGTACACACATGTTTCAGCATACACACGTTTCGGCACACACACGTTTCGGTACACACATGTTTCGGTACACACATGTTTCGGTTCACACATGTTTTAGTACACACATTTTTCGGTACACACATGTTTCGGTACACACATGTTTCGGTTCACACATGTTTTAGTACACACATTTTTCGGTACACACATGTTTCGGTACACACATGTTTCGGTTCACACATGTTTTAGTACACACATTTTTCGGTACACACATGTTTCGGTACACACATGTTTCCGTACAAATACGTTTCGGTACACACATGTTTTAGTACACACACGTTTCGGTACACACATGTTTTAGTACACACATGTTTCGGTACACACACGTTTCGGTACACACATGTTTCGGTACAAATACGTTTCGGTACACACATGTTTTACTACCCACACGTTTCGGTACACACATGTTTTAGGACACACACGTTTCGGTACATACATGTTTCAGTACACACACGTTTCGGTACACACACGTTTCGGTACACACACGTTTCGGTACACACATGTTTCGGTACACATACGTTTCGGTACACACATGTTTTAGTACACACACGTTTCGGTACAAACATGTTTCAGTACACACACGTTTCGGTACACACATGTTTCAGTACACACACGTTTCATAGTTGATTGTTGTACGGTTATAGCACTTATGTCGGATATGGATATATTTCCATATACGTAAATTAAGGCGTTTTTTATATTAACTGATAGACTGACTAATTATATAAGGCATTCCAACCCTTGGCAGCACCTATTGGTTAATCTTTCATGAAAATTTCCGAGATATCGTGAGGAGGGGGGGAGGGGGGGGCTTATAGCAAGAAAAGGATAGCATAAAACAATTTACATCAAACTAACGATAAATGTATTCAGAATTCTTATCTTATTGGTTTAATGAAACCTTTTTTTTAATACACAAAAAACTAGAAAGCGCTAATAAAAGCTAACATACACAAAAAGAGGAGATTAATTCTTCACATAGATGTTAACTTCACTAGGAGGTAACAAGCCAGGTACATACTGATATTTAAAAAAAAAATGGCTTTTTCTTTCCGAGAACCGTAACAACAGTATGCAGGCGCATCCAGAACTAGGTCGGGTTGATAAGGGATAGTCAGGTTGCTAGGGATATATAGGTCTCACTCAGCGGTACCTGCTGCGGGAACATGGCCACGAAAGGTAAACTATCTCTTGTTACTTCTTCACAATATTATATTAACGTTAGAGGTGGTGTAGAACGGGCGGTGAGGGAAGGCAGGGGCAGGACGGGTGGTAAAGGGTTACGGGGGTAGGACTGATGGTGAAAGGAGACGGTGGTGGGACGGGCGTTGTAGAAAGACGGGGTAGTACGGATGTTGTAGGAAAGCGGGGGTAGGACGGGTGTTGTAGGGAGACAGGGATAGGACGGGTGTAGTAGAGAGACGGGGTAGGACGGATGTTGTAGGGAAGCGGGGTAGGACGAGTGTTGTAGGGAGACAGGGGTAGGACGGGTGTTGTCGGGAGACAAGGGTACAACGGGTGGTGTAAGGAGGCGGGGGTAGTACGGGTGGTGTAGGGAGAAAGGGATAGGATGGATGTTGTAGGGAGGCGGGTTAGGACGAGTGGTGTAGCTAAACGGGGATAGGGCGGCCGTTATAGAGAGACAGGGGTAGGACGGTTGGTGTAGAGAGACTTGGGTATGACGGGCGTTTTAGGGAGACGGAGATAGGACGGGTGGTGTAGAGAGTCTGGGGTAGGATCGGCGTTTCAGTGAGTTAGGTGTATGACGGGTGGTGTAGAGAGTCGGGGGTAGGACGGTTGGTGTTGGGAGACGGAGGTAGGTCGGGTGGTGTAGAGAGACAGGGGTAGGACGGTTGGTGTAGGGAGGCGGGTTAGGACGGTCGGTGTAGGGAGGCGGGGCTAGGAGGGGTGGTGTTGAGAAGCGGGGTAGGAGAGTTGGTATAGGGAGACGGGGCTAGGACGGTTGGTGTAGGTAGGCGAGGGTAAGACGGTTGGTGTTGGTAGACGGAGGTAGGACGGATGGTGTAGGGAGACAGAGGTAGGACGGGTGGCGTAGGGAGGCGGGGGAGAGAGACAGGGATAGGACGGTTGGTGTAGAGAGACAGGGATATGACGGTTGGTGTTAAGAAGCGGGGTAGGCCGGATGGTTTAGAGAGAAAGGTGTAGGACGGGTGGTGAAGGGAGACGGGGGTAAGACGGTTGGTGTTGGTAGACGGAGGTAGGACGGGTGGTGTAGGGACGCGGGGTAGGGCGGGTGGTGTAGAGAGACATGAGTAGGATGGGTGGTGTAGGGAAGCGGGGTAGGACGGATGGTTTAGAGAGAAAGGTGTAGGACGGGTGGTGAAGGGAGACGGGGGTAAGACGGTTGGTGTTGGGAGACGGAGGTAGGACGGGTGGTGTACAGATGCGGAGGTAAGACAGGTGGTGTTAGGGGACAGGGGTAGAACGGGTAGTGTAGGGATGCGGGGGTAGGACGGGTGGTGTACAGATGCGGAGGTAAGACAGGTGGTGTTAGGGGACAGGGGAAGAACGGGTAGTGTAGGGACGCGGGGGTAGAACGGGTGTTGTAGGAAGACAGGGGTAGGACGGGTGGTGTACAGATGCGGAGGTAAGACAGGTGGTGTTAGGGGACAGGGGTAGAACGGGTAGTGTAGGGATGCGGGGGTAGGACGGGTGGTACAGGGAGACAGAGGTAGGACGGATGTTGTCGGGAGACAGAGGTAGTATGGGTGGTGTAGGGAGGCGGAGGTAGGACGAGGTTGTGAAGATTCGGAGGTAGGACGGGTGTTGTGGGGAGACAGAGGGAGGACAAGTTGTGTAGCTAATGAGGGGAGGACGGTTGGTGTAGGGAGGCGGGGTAGAGAGACAGGGATAGGACGGTTGGTGTAGGGAGGCGTGGTTGGACGGGTGTTGTAGAGAGACGGGGTAGGACGGGTGTTGTAGGGAGACAGAGGTAGGACGGGTGGCGTAGGGAGGCGGGGTAGGATGGGTGTTGTAGAGAGACGGGTGTTGTAGAGAGACAGGGGTAGGACGGTAGGGGTAGGGGCTAGGACGGGTTGTGTAGGTAGACGAGGGTAGGAAGTGTGGTGTAGGGAAGCGGGGTAGGACGGTCGGTGTAGGGATGCGGGGGTAGGACGGGTGTTTTAGGAAGACAGGGGTAGGATTGATGTTGTAGAGAGACTTGGTAGGACGGATGTTGTAGGGAGGTGGGGGTAGGACGGATGATGTAGAGAGGCGGGGGTAGAATGGGTGGTGTAGAGAGACATGAGTAGGATGGGTGGTGTAGGGAAGCGGGGTAGGACGGTCGGTGTAGGGATGCGGTGGAAGGACGGTTGTTGTAGGAAGACAGGGGTAGGACGGGTGTTGTAGAGAGACGTGGTAAAACGGGTGTTGTAGAGAGACAGGGTAGGACGAGTGTTGTAGGGAGACATGGTAGGACGGGTATTGTAGGGAGGCGGGATAGGACGGGTGGTGTAGGGAGACAGAGGAAGGACAAGGTGTGTAGCTAATGAGGGGAGGACGGTTGGTGTAGGGAGGCGGGGGTAGGACGGGTGGTGAAGAGAGACAGAGGTAGGACGTGTGGTGTAGGGAGACAGAGGAAGGACGGGGGGTGTAGGGAGACAGAGGTTGGATGGGTGGTGTAGGGAAGCGGGGTAGGACGGTCGGTGTAGGGAGGCGGGGTAGAGAGACAGGGATAGGACGGGTGGTGGAGGGAGACAGGGTAGGACGGGTGGTGTAGAGAGACAGAGGTAGGACAAGTTGTGTAGCTAATGAGGCTAATGTTGGTTTAGGAAGGCGGGGTAGAGAGACAGGGATAAGAAGGTTGGTATAGGGAGGCGGGGTAGGACGGGTGTTGCAGAGAGTCGGAGTAGGACGGGTGTTATAGGGAGATAGAGGTAGGACGGGTGGTGTAGGGAGGCGGGGTGGGACGGGTGTTGTAGGAGAGGGGGTAGCACGGGTGTTTTAGAGAGACAGGGTAGGACGGTTGGTGTAGGGAGGCGGGGTAGGACAGCTGTTGAAGACAGACGAGATAGTACGGGTGTTGTAGGGAGGCGGGGGAAGAACGGGTGATGTAGAGAAGCGGGGGTAGGACGGGTGGTGTAGAGAGACAGATGTAGGACGGGTGTTGTAGGGAGTCGGGGCTAGGACGGGTGTTGTAGGGAGTCGGGGTAGGACGGTTGGTGTAGGGAGGCGGGGTAGGACAGCTGTTGAAGACAGACGAGATAGTACGGGTGTTGTAGGGAGGCGGGGGAAGAACGGGTGATGTAGAGAGACAGAGGTAGGACGGGTGTTGTAGGGAGTCGGGGCTAGGACGCATGGTAAGGGCGGATAGCGGGTATGAAATAGGTGGTATGGAGGCAAAGGTTGATTCAGAGAGACTGTGAATGAACAAGGACAAGTTAAGTAAACGTGAAGTTGGATACTTATTTCATGTTCACCCTTTTGAATGTAAAAACATGTACCTTAGACATTAATATGTTTATCAGTAACATTGGCCGATTGTTCCTCATTCCGTTCCCATCTGTATATAGTATTGTTAAAGTTGGAGCGAATTTGTACTCAGGTACATTCTTTTTTATTGAAATAGTTTGTAAGGTAGCTAATTTGGTGGCTTAATGCAGTGCCACATCACTGAAACGTGAAATCATTGAAGGAAACACTTTACCCGGCTCAAACAACTTAGATTGTTCCAGTATCCCCGTCACTGGTGCCACTCATACCCAACATAAGTCAATATTGTATTGGTGATAACGTCATTGTGATCGTTTACAGCGTTGATTGGGGCGGTATTCGTGGGTTTGGTGCTACAGAGCTCAGGTAAGTAACCTATTCTTTGAATCTATTGGAAGTTTATGTATTTAGTGGAACTTTAGGGAAATCTTGTAAGTTTACTTACTCGATATATGCAGTAGACCTTTATCATTTGTATGTGTATATAGAAGAACCTGATTAGTCTGAGAAAATGTCTGTATCGGCCAATTAGGAAATGAGATTTAAATTCAGTACGCTACTCCAGGTTCTTTGTTTAAACAATTACATATTGAATTTCCTCTTAAATGTTTGTAAGGAAAATAAATCATTAACGTTCCTCTAATATGTTTTTAGGGAAATTAGAAAATAACGTTCCTCTAGAATGGACAATTAAACATTGACGTTCCTCCAGTGTATTTGTTAAAACAATTAGACATTGACGTTCCTCTAGTATGTTTGTTATGACAATTATACAATGACGTTCCTCTAGTATGTTTGTTAGAACAACTATACAATGATGTTCCTCTAGTATGTCTGTGTGGACAATTAGACATTGACGTTGCTCTAGTATGTTTGTTAGGACAATTAGACATTGACGTTGCTCTAGTATGTTTGTTACGACAATTAGACATTGACGTTCCTCTAGTATGTTTGTAAGGACAATTGGACATTGACGTTCCTCTAGTATGTTTGTAAGGACAATTAGACATTGACGTTCCTCTAGTATGTTTGTTAGAACAATTATACAATGATTTTCCTCTAGTATGTCTGTGTGGACAATTAGACATTGACGTTGCTCTAGTATGATTGTTACGACAATTAGACATTGACGTTCCTCTAGTATGTTTGTTAGGACAATTATACAATGACGTTCCTCTAGTATTTTTGTTAGGACAATTATACATTGACGTTCCTCTAGTATGTTTGTTAGAACAATTAGACATTGACGTTCCTCTAGTATGTTTGTTAGGACAATTATACATTGACGTTCCTCTTGTATGTTTGTTATGACAATTAAACAATGACTTTCCTCTAGAATGTTTGTAAGGACAATTAGACATTGACGTTGCTCTAGCATGTTTGTTAGGACAATTAGACATTGACGTCCCTCTAGTATGTTTGTTAGGACAATTAGACTATGACGTTCCTCCAGTATGTTTGTTATGACATTTAAACAATGACTTTCCTCTAGAATGTTTGTAAGGACAATTAGACATTGACGTTGCTCTAGTATGTCTGTGTGGACAATTAGACATTGACGTTCCTCTAGTATGTTTGTTAGAACAATTAGACATTGACGTTCCTCTAGTATGTTTGTTAGGACAATTATACATTGACGTTCCTCTTGTATGTTTGTTATGACAATTAAACAATGACTTTCCTCTAGAATGTTTGTAAGGACAATTAGACATTGACGTTGCTCTAGTATGTCTGTGAGGACAATTATACAATGACGTTCCTCTAGAATGGATGTAAGGACAATTAGACATTGACGTTCCTCTAAAATGTTTGTAAGGACAATTATACAATGACGTTCCTCTAGAATGTTTGTAAGGACAATTATACAATGACGTTCCTCTAGAATGTTTGTGTGGACAATTATACAATGACGTTCCTCTAGAATGGATGTAAGGACAATTATACAATGACTTTCCTCTAGAATGTTTCTAAGGACAATTATACAATGACGTTCCTCTAAAATGTTTGTTAGAACAATTATACAATGACGTTCCTCTAGTATATTTGTTAGAAGAAGTAAACATTGACGTTGCTCTAGTATGTTTGTTAGGACAATTATACAATGACGTTTCTCTAGAATGTTTGTAAGGACAATTAGACTTTGACGTTGCTCTATTATGTTTGTAAGGACAATTAGACATTGACTTTGCTCCAGAATGTTTGTTAGAACAATTAGACATTGACGTTCCTCTAATATGTTTGTTAGGACAATTAGACATTGACGTTGCTCTAGTATGTTTGTTAGGACAATTATACAATGACGTTTCTCTAGAATGTTTGTAAGGACAATTAGACTTTGACGTTGCTCTATTATGTTTGTAAGGACAATTAGACATTGACTTTGCTCCAGAATGTTTGTTAGAACAATTATACATTGACGTTGCTCTATTATGTTTGTAAGGACAATTAGACATTGACTTTGCTCTATTATGTTTGTTAGGACAATTATACAATGACGTTCCTCTGGAATGTTTGTAAGGACAATTAGACATTAACGTTGCTCTATTATGTTTGTAAGGACAATTAGACATTGACGTTGCTCTAGAATGTTTGTTATGACAATTAGACATTGACGTTCCTCTAGAATGTTTGTTAGAACAATTAGACAATGACGTTCCTCTAGAATGTTTGTTAGGACAATTAGACATTGACGTTCCTCTAATATGTTTGTTAGAACAATTATACATTGACGTTCCTCTAGAATGTTTGTAACGACAATTAGACATTGACGTTCCTCTAGTATGTTTGTTAGGACAATTAGACATTGACGTTCCTCTAGTATGTTTGTTATGACAATTAGACATTGACGTTCCTCTAGAATGTTTGTAAGGACAATTAGACATTGACTTTGCTCCAGAATGTTTGTTAGAACAATTAGACATTGACGTTCCTCTAATATGTTTGTAAGGACAATTAGACATTGGCTTTGCTCCAGAATGTTTGTTAGAACAATTAGACATTGACGTTCCTCTAATATGTTTGTAAGGACAATTAGACATTGACGTTGCTTTAGTATGTTTGTTAGGACAATTAGACAATGACGTTCCTCTATTATGTTTGTAAGGACAATTAGACATTGACGTTGCTCTATTATGTTTGTTAGAACAATTAGACATTGACGTTCCTCTATTATGTTTGTAAGGACAATAATACAATGACGTTCCCCTAAAATGTTTGTTAGAACAATTAGACAATGACGTTTCTATGGTATGTTTGTAAGGACAATTATACATTGACGTTCCACTAGTATGTTTGTAAGGACAATTCGACATTGACGTTCCTCTAGTATGTTTGTAAGGACGATTAGACATTGACGTTCCTCTAGTATGTTTGTAATGACAATTAGACATTGTGGTTTCTCTAGTATGTTTGTAATGACAATTAGACATTGTGGTTTCTCTAGTATGTTTGTAAGGACGATTAGACATTGTGGTTTCTCTAGTATGTTTGTAAGGACGATTAGACATTGTGGTTTCTCTAGTATGTTTATAAGAACAATTAGATATTGTTGTTTCTCTAGTTCGCTGGCCTGGACTAGTATACACTGACATTCCACTAGTATTTTTCTGTTTAAACAGACAATAAGAGTACTTACACTGTTGTAAAGTTTGATAAGACAAAATGTTTCTATATTTTTTAATCCTCTTGTGTTGACAAAGAAAGAAGTTTAAAGCTGACCTGTGCAATTTACATTAATGAATTGGATACGATGATATTTTCCAGTAACGTTTTTTTCCGTTCGAACAGGCCTGACGTGTTACGAATGTTATTCTGCTCGGGAACCCCAGCTTTGTACGTACCATCGCGAGTGTGGCCAAAACGAGGTAAATGTTCTTCTCATTAAAGAATGTTCAGATCTCACTATGAAATCATAGTAACACAGAACTTGCAGACTCAGTTTGAACTTTTGATTTCTAATCGTGACATGTCTTTGGTCTTTATTTATTTTGTTTCCTATGCTACTACCAAGTTCAATGTTGGAAATTCTTAACGGGATTTAACTTAAACTTCGTAATGTCATGTGATTTGCTCACTATTGCTGATGTTACTGTATTTTAATTACATAACTATATATAAAATACCAAAACATGTAATTCTTACATAATCGATGTGCTGTCAATAAAGGCAAAGAACAAAGGGAACACACCTATAAAATTGGAGAAGGATCCATTCAGTACATTTTTCAGAACTAAAACTTAACTGTGAAAATCAAAGATTTTACTTCGTCTATCCGCCGATCAGTCGCAGAAGTCAACATGCACCACTAGGAGACACAGAGAATACTGTATACACACAGAATAGTGTATACACACATAATACCGATACACACAGAATACTGATACACACAGAATACTGATACACAAAGAAAACTGATACACACAGAGTAGTGTATACACACAGAATACTGATACACACAGAATACTGATACACACAGCTTACTGATACACACAGAATACTGATACACAAAGAATACTGATACACACAGAGTAGTGTATACACACATAATAATGTATACACACAGAATAATGTATACACACAGAATACTGATACACACAGAATACTGATTAACCCAGAATACTGATACACACAGAATACTGTATACACTTTCGTATTTGCTTTCACACAATGCTACCCAACCAGCGAGTTCTAAATCACAATGTAAGTTTTTATTGTAAAATTATAATAGGACGTCAATTTGACTATGTGACGTCACTATATAACATCAGCATCATTACGTTCATTCTGTTACTGACGTTGTTATAAACATGATAATATAGCATATCTACAAGGTATCGATCACATAGGTAAATGTGTCGAAGCCAAGAACATTTATCTAATTACAACACACAGTATATAATTACAGTTTACATTATCTAATTACAACACACAGTATATAATTACAGTTTTCATTATCTAATTACAACACACAGTATATAATTACAGTTTACATTATCTAATTACACTATACATGATCTTATTACAATACACATATCTAATTACACTACACATTATCTTTTTACAGTACACACTATGTAATTACAGTAAACGCTATCTATTTACACTTTACATGATCTTATTAAAGCACAGATTGTTTAATTACAGGATACATTATCTAATTACAATACACATTATGTAATTACAGTACACGTTATTTAATTACACTATACATGGTGGGATTTTTTTTTGGGGGGGGGCGCCAAATTTTTACACTAGTATACTATACAGTTACAATATATATACATAACATGACATAACACAAACATATATATAAAGACACACACACTCATTCATTATCCTACAAATACCAATACAATTATCAGAAAGGAAAGGTAGGATTGTTGAAAATGTGTATTACATTTTGAATTTCTCTGTAAGCTAGCTGTCAGTGTGAGCGTAATCAATATTTACATTTACTCAATAAAACAATTATATTTATAAATTGATAAGCTAAACAGGTAAATCAGTCGTAATTTCAAGTTTGTGTGTTTCAAAAACAGTTTTGCCATTTGGCCCATTCTCTTTGAAACTGGTTTAAGTAGCTTTCTCCCTTACTTCTAGCAATGTTTTTTTGAGTTGTATATGTATCTTTTAGTGGAATTTTCAGGGCAATAGTGAAGAGTTCGTTCCTGAGGCACCTTGCTTTGTAGATATATTGTTTTATTGTTAAGATTATCACATTATCCACTATTCTGTTTATTCCATTCTGACGATATGTACCAAAAAGAAAAGATTTCTTATTAAATTCAAATGGAATAAACAGTGAATTCAACAATCTTTTTAAGTTTACAAGTAAAATTTGAACGTTTCACAGTTCCATAGCGTATGCACTATCGTTTCAATTTCTGTTTTACAAATGTTACAATAAGGACTGTCTACTAAACCAACTTTAAATAAATACGAATTTGTTGTTAGAATATGGTGATTAACCCTAAATTGGAACCATTGCAATTTTGTAATTTTTGTTACAGAAAAAGGGAGTTTAAAAATCAGTTTCCTATCTCCTTCATCGAATTCAAATTGTTCATCCCATTTTTTTATTCCACTTGCAATTAAATCATTTTTACTAAGCAAATTATGAAAAACTTTTGTACCTTTCAGATTTTTAGCAAATATTTTTAAATTTCTTGGAATAAAAGGATAGTCTTTTTTGGATGGGTCAAGTTACACCGACTGCAAAGCTCCTTACTATACATAATCTAGTTGCATTTTACATTATATAAGTACAGTATACATTATCTAGTTACAGTATACATTATCTAAATACAGTATACATGATCTAATTACAGTATACATTATCTAGTTACAGTATACATTATCTAATTACAGTATACATTATCTAATTACAGTATACATTATCTAGTTACAGTATACTTTATCTAATTACAGTATACATTATCTAGTTACAGTATACATTATCTAATTACAGTATACATTATCTAGTTACAGTATACTTTATATAAGTACAGTCTTCATTATCTAGTTACAGTATACATTATATAAATACAGTATACATTATCTATTTACAGTATACATTATCTAGTAACAGTATACATTATCTAGTTACAGTATACTTTACTAAATTTCAGTATACATTATATAAGTACAGTATTCATTATCTAGTTACAGTATACATTATTTAATCACAGTACATATTATATAATCACTGTACACTTTATCTAATCACAATACACATTATATAATCACAACACACTTTATATAATCACAATACACATAATCTAATCACAGTACACATTATATAATCACAGTACACATCATCTAATCACAATACACATAATCTAATCACAGTACACATTATCTAATCACAGTACACATCATCTAATCATAATACACATAATCTAATCACAGTACACATTATCTAATCACAGTACACATTATCTAATCACAGTACACATCATCTAATCACAATACACATTATCTAATCACAGTACACATCATCTAATCACAATACACATTATATAATCACAGTACACTTTATCTAATCACAGTACACTTTATCTAATCACAGTACACATCATCTAATCACAATACACATTATCTAATCACAGTACACATTATCTAATCACAACACACTTTATATAATCACAATACACATCATCTAATCACAATACACATTATCTAATCACAGTACACATTATCTAATCACAACACACTTTATATAATCACAATACACATTATATAATCACAACACACTTTATATAATCACAGTACACATTATATAATCACAACACACTTTATATAATCACAAAACACATCATCTAATCACAATACGCATGATATAATCACAGTACAAATTATATAATCACAGTACACATCATCTAATCACAGTACACATCATCTAATCACAATACACATTATCTAATCACAGTACACATCATCTAATCACAATACACATTATCTAATCACAGTACACATTATCTAATCACAGTACACATCATCTAATCACAATACACATTATCTAATCACAGTACACATTATCTAATCACAATACACATTATCTAATCACAGTACACATTATATAATCACAGTACACATCATCTAATCACAATACACATTATCTAATCACAGTACACATTATCTAATCACAGTACACATCATCTAATCACAATACACATTATCTAATCACAGTACACATTATCTAATCACAGTACACATTATCTAATCACAGTACACATTATCTAATCACAGTACACATCATCTAATCACAATACACATTATCTAATCACAGTACACATTATCTAATCACAGTACACATTATCTAATCACAGTACACATTATCTAATCACAGTACACATCATCTAATCACAATACACATTATCTAATCACAGTACACATTATCTAATCACAGTACACATTATCTAATCACAGTACACATTATCTAATCACAGTACACATCATCTAATCACAATACACATTATCTAATCACAGTACACATTATCTAATCACAGTACACATTATCTAATCACAGTACACATTATCTAATCACAATACACATTATCTAATCACAGTACACATTATCTAATCACAGTACACATCATCTAATCACAATACACATTATCTAATCACAGTACACATTATCTAATCACAGTACACATTATCTAATCACAATACACTTTATCTAATCACAGTACACATCATCTAATCACAATACACATTATCTAATCACAGTACACATTATCTAATCACAGTACACATCATCTAATCACAATACACATTATCTAATCACAGTACACATTATCTAATCACAGTACACATCATCTAATCACAATACACATTATCTAATCACAGTACACATTATCTAATCACAGTACACATCATCTAATCACAATACACATTATCTAATCACAGTACACATTATCTAATCACAGTACACATCATCTAATCACAATACACATCATCTAATCACAATACACATTATCTAATCACAGTACACATTATATAATCACAGTACACATTATCTTATCACAATACACATTATATAATCACAATACACATTATCTAATCACAGTACACATTATATAATCACAGTACACATTATCTTATCACAATACACATTATATAATCACAATACACATTATATAATCACAATACAAATTATATAATCACAGTACACTTTATCTAATCACAATACACATCATCCAATCACAGTACACATTATATAATCACAGTACATATTATATAATCCCAGTACACTTTATCTAATCACAATACACATTATATAATCAAAACACACTTTATATATTCACAATACACATAATATAATCACAGTACACATTATATAATCACAGTACACATTATATAATCACAGTTCACATTATCTAATCACAGTACACATTATATAATCACAATACACATCATCTTATCACAGTACACATTATCTAATCACAGTACACTTTATCTAATCACAATACACATTATATAATCACAACACACTTTATATAATCACAATACACATTTTATTATCACAGTACACATTATATAATCACAGTACACATTATATAATCACAATACACTTTATTTATTTACAGTACATATTGCCTATTTACAGTTAGCATTTGCTTATTACATATACACAGTCTTATTACAGTATCTTTTATCTAATTACGGTACACTTTATTTGATTAGTGTATACTTTATCGATTCGATGTTTTTAACAGAAATGTGGCACACACAAGACACGGGACAATTATGGAGCGACTGTATATCACCTGGAGTGTCTATACGATACGGTAATACAGTTAATGTCTGATCCAATTTCTATTTTGTTACCATTCGCAACACCGTAGTCATTACATTCAATGTTTTTTCATGAAATTTACATTATGTTTAACGAGAGGAAATATGGCACAATTATTTGGATTGTACGTAGTAACAAATGCTATGAAATCAGCATAGTTGTGTTAGCTCTGTCTGAGTTAACACTGACACGACCTTTCTCTTTAGCCCTTTGGATAGCGTTTTGTACCACATCAACGGGATCACGATTATTTTATTTTTAAGTTAAAGTTTCAAATCGTCCAATCTATTTTCTAATGTTTCTTTTATCTCTAACAACCATGATTCATTTAGATGCTAAACCATATGGAATGTTAAGCTTCGTATAATTGGCGTGATTGGAAAAGACAAGCCTAATAATTGTGAGAATCTGTCGGTTTATAGAATATATCGCTAACAATATCCTGTACAAAAATATCTGAGAAAGGTATTTCTTTTTTTACTGAAGTCCATTGTGTAATTAAATCGGATGCAATGCATTTAGCATATTAATAATATCCAGAAGATTCGCACCTGGAGGCCAAACTATAAAGCAATCATCACCAAATCTAAAACGAAAGTGTTGTTTTTTTTTAAATAATTTGCAAAATTAAACACTAAACGTATTTTAAACATTTTTTGTAAAGTTTATCTCCTAATATTGTAGCCGCGACACTTTTGAAGGAGCCATCTTTGTACCCGTTGCGGTACCTTTACGTTGCGGTACCTTACGTTGCAGTACCTTTACGTTTACGTTGCGGTACCTTTATGTTGTGGTACCTTTACTTTGCAGTACCTTTACGTTGCGGTACCTTTACCTTTACGTTGCGGTACCTTTACGTTGCGGTACCTTTACGTTGGTGGTGAATACAAACGTATTGCTTTCCAATATTTCAATGCTTCAACAATAAACTTCTCTTTGTTCAACCAATAGATAATAGCCTCGATTCCCAAATCATGTGGAATCTTTTTTTAATATATTGGTATACAGACTTATTACGTCAAAAGCAATAAGTTTACAATACTCTTTGACATGTACATTGCAGCCTTTATGTAATCTAATTACAAGTCAAATTTACATTAACATTTTGTAAAATGAAGAAGTTAGGTTGTTGATACGTCCACATACACCAACATTTCTGCCTTCTTGAAGATATGTGAAGGCTCGGAGTCTCCGCCCACTTTTGTTGGGAGGCGAAAGCGCGATTCCTACCAGTCGGAAGTGACGTGTTGTGACACCGACCTTTGTAACCATGGAAACAACATAGCTGCTACCACAGAAAGTGAGTCTTCTATTATTATATGCTATACAATACGTGTATCAGATTTGACGTTATAGAGGTCCTTTTATTGCACATTACTACAGACCATGGTTTTAGGTAGGATGGATAGAAAGGAACACACGGAAACCCGAATCATGTCGACACTGTAGAGACGATTTATACGATTGAAGCTCTGACTTTATATCATCTCAGAACTCTCTGAACAAAGAACTGAAGGCCTAATTCCTCCTAACGGCAATTGATGACGTCATATTCTTCCATTCCTGTTGGTGTGCACGCGTTGGCTCTCCTGTGATAACATGTGAAAAGACATGTCTGGTTATCAGACCTGTCTTGACTACTGTGACCAATAACGTACACTCAAGCCTCCGTACGTAGTCAACACCTCACGATGCCCGACTACATAAAATTCCAGTGTTGGTTGCTGACACCCTATTGTCGCTGACCACAGACCGCCAACACTAGCGAAGTCACTGACCTAGTCGCCAACTACCCTGTAGGTACCATGTCGCTAACTAGTCAGCCTCTGCCAAACACTCTACAGCATAGCTAAAGGCGAGCTACTGTTCGTGGATCTAGGCAAAGACCGTAGTCACTTCTAGCTATCCACAACAACTATCTTGGCTTGGTCCCGGAGGTCCGTACAGCTTCAGCGCAGAAATTGAAGTTCGTGCTGTTGGTTGGTTGGTTGCTGAGTTTACAGTCTACACTTTACTGACGAAGTCGGTGTTCGGTCGACTTGTGGGGGTAAGTTGGCGCTTACCGGGCCCTTTGGGGATTCAAAAGTCCTGCCCATCCAGCTCACGCTCTGAAGTCGGACAGCTGCTCACTGTCGCAGCAGCTGTGTGTGGTCCACGGATCGATGTCCTTCTAGTAGTCCCCGCTGCCCTCCTATGTCCAGGCTGTCGGTTGGTTGGTTGGTTGGTTTATCGTCTACACTTCACTGACGAAGTCGGTGTTCGGTCGACGTTTCAGGCTGTCTCTCCTCGCTTCCTTTTAAACCAAACCTATTATCAATTTGGGTCAGTGTTGCGTTTGAATTGCATACATATAATTAACAAAATCTTGCCCGTGAATAAAAACGATTTACCGTAAAGTGCCATCAATAGATAACACAAACTGGTAAGACCTACGGTCATGTTCTATTGCATGATTGGTAGATCATTGTCACTACAGTATATGAGCTAATGATTGATCTCAAATTTAAAATCCTAACAGTTTCTCTCTGTTTTGCAGTACCTATAGACTCAACGACAGTTCTGGGATGTCATGACAACAGCGTTTGTGAAGTATTTAAACACTTACAAGTACAAACGTGCGACTCCGACGATATAGCCATTCGGCTATGTCCGTCGATGTGCAATCGGTGCAATGACGTCACATCTGATGTACCAATGTCAGGCTCTGTTACTTCCGGTTTAGAGGTGATGTCGCCTAGTGTTTGCCGAGACACGAACACAAACTGTGCTTATCTAGACGATACTGTACGCATGTGCGAACATCATGAGGTGGCCATACATTTAGGATGTCAGAAAACCTGTAACTTGTGTGATGCTATTTCTTCTACGGGTAAGTCTCCAAACGGACTGTCGTCATTGGTGACAGTGCCAGTATATAGATCAACTCACAGTTTAATGGTTACACACAGATTACCTAGATACGAAAGCACCGTGTTCTAGAAAAAAAGAAAACATTAGACGTTTCAGTCTTATAAATGATTGATGAAATTTCATCAAATTAAAACACTATCTTTGCACATTAATACCCCTCTTATAAAATGCACACACAAACACAAATAACCTACATTACTTTAATATCCACAGGAACGTACCCTCCGGATGTCACAAACACATCAAATAAGCTAACAACGGAAACTACAGAGCCAGATTCTACTCCACAGAGTACAGAACTCATTTACGCAACGTCAGAAAGGTATACAGAATACCTTACTCGACCTAACTCCACAGAGAACTCCACACCATATACATTCCAGCCACGTTCTACAGAAAATTTAAGCGGAGAAACTTTTCCATCAAGGTCTACCCCACACGCACCTGTCACAACAACAGATCTACAGGAACAATACAGAACGTCCGCGTCACGTAGGTATATATAGTGTGTGTTATATAGACCGTATGTTTCCGCGTGTTTTGTGTGTGTTTATAACGAGATGTTTCACACAGAATGTTTTGTATTATTATTTGTAGTATTCTTTGTTCTATAATGCTGTTCACTTAACCACCTCATGTTTAGGATCCAATCTCAGTTCGCATTGATACAATATTCTAGGCCTGCTCTTTAAAAGTATCATTTTAATCAACTGTCCCAAGCTGGACATGATGATACCAGAGATGTCAGGGAAACACTGCCGAAAGGTCAGGTAGTAGACAAAGCAACAGACAGAAGACAGTGTATGGGGCAGTAGATCAATCGGACAGAAGTCCGTGTATGGGGCAGTAGATCAATCAGACAGAAGTCCGTGTGTGGGGCAGTAGATCAATCAAACAGAAGTCCGTGTATGGGACAGTAGATCAATCAGACAGAGGTCCGTGTGTGGGGCAGTAGATCAATCAGACAGTAGTCCGTGTATGGGGCAGTAGATCAATCAGACAGTAGTCCGTGTATTGGGCAGTAGATCAATCAGACAGTAGTCCGTGTATTGGGCAGTAGATCAATCAGACAGTAGTCCGTGTATTGGGCAGTAGATCAATCAGACAGTAGTCCGTGTATCGGGCAGCAGATCAATCAGACAGTAGTCCGTGTATCGGGCAATAGATCAATCAGACAGTAGTCCGTGTATCGGGCAGCAGATCAATCAGACAGAAGTCCGTGTATCGGGCAGGAGATCAATCAGACAGTAGTCCGTGTATCGGGCAGCAGATCAATCAGACAGTAGTCCGTGTACCGGGCAGTAGATCAATCAGACAGAAGTCCGTGTGTGGGGCAGTAGATCAATCATACAGAAGTCCGTGTGTGGGGCAGTAGATCAATCATACAGAAGTCCGTGTGTGGGGCAGTAGATCAATCATACAGAAGTCCGTGTGTGGGGCAGTAGATCAATCAAACAGAAGTCCGTGTATGGGACAGTAGATCAATCAGACAGAGGTCCGTGTGTGGGGCAGTAGATCAATCAGACAGTAGTCCGTGTGTCGGGCAGTAGATCAATCAGACAGTAGTCCGTGCATCGGGCAGTAGATCAATCAGACAGTAGTCCGTGCATCGGGCAGTAGATCAATCAGACAGTAGTCCGTGTATCAGGCAGTAGATCAATCAGACAGAAGTCCGTGTATCGGGCAATAGATCAATCAGACAGAAGTCCGTGTATCGGGCAGTAGATCAATCCAAGCAGAAACGTAGAACTGAAGAAAACTGCTGATTCTGCAGGGGAGGGGGCACATAGGTCGTATCATACTAGGTGTATGTCATAGTCAGACACCCGTATATATCATATTGTTCGTACCTCCTAACAACACTCATGGCTTTTACAATTTAAAGATCTCCTACCAGACACAACTTACGCAGTGACGACCACTCTTCCACCTACTACCACGCCGAGGCTATGTGACGTCACGCCGCCTACTGGTAAGACTTTTACACGTCATGTCACAGGATGTCGATGCGATAAGAATATATAACAGGGGTACTTACCTACGTCACAGGCGGAGATCACGGACACACTTTTGACCACCATTTTTGCCGATTCAGGCTTAAGATTCCCGTAAAAACTCCATTAAGAATGTTTTAGATACTAAACTCCACACTAAGTGAAGAAAAGACAGAAAATATTCTAAATGCAATGTATATCAATTATATTGATGAAATAATTCTAGTTTTGCTAAACAGTTCAGGGTTATTTTTTTATTATGATGTGGAGAACACGGTCACACACTTTTCGAATTCCATTACATTTTGCAAGGTTTGTTAGTACATATGAATAGAATACATTTACATGTCGTTCTAGGCTTAAGATTCCCGTAAAAACTCTCTCACCAACCCATGTCGTTCTATATCTTACAGCACAACCATGTCGTTCTATATCTTACAGCACACCCATGTCGTTCTATATCTTACAGCACACCCATGTCGTTCACATCAACCCATGTCGTTCTCACCAACCCATGTCGTTCTATATCTTACAGCACAACCATGTCGTTCTATATCTTACAGCACACCCATGTCGTTCTATATATTACAGTACACCCATGTCGTTCTATATCTTACAGCACACTCATGTCGTTCTATATCTTACAGCACACTCATGTCGTTCTCACCAACCAATGTCGTTCTATATCTGACTGTAGACTCATGTCGTTCTCACTAACTCATGTCGTCCGATATCTTACAGCACACTCATGTCGTTCTCACCAACCCATGTCGTTCTATATCTGACTGTACACTCATGTCGTTCACACCAATCCATGTCGTTCTATATCAGCCTGTACATTCATGTCGTTCTCACTAACCAATGTCGTCCGATATCTGACTGTACACTCATGTCGTTCTCACCAACCCGTGTCGTTCAATATCTTACAGCACACTCATGTCGTTCTCACCAACCCGTGTCGTTCTATATCTTACAGCACACCCATGTCGTTCTCACCAACCAATGTCGTTCTATATCTTACAGCACACTCATGTCGTTCTCACCCACCCATGTCGTTCTCACCCACCCATGTCGTTCTATATCTTACAGCACACTCATGTCGTTCTCACCCACCCATGTCGTTCTATATCTTACAGCACACCCATGTTTTTCTTACCCACTCATGTCGTTCTATATCCTGCAGCACACTCATGTCGTTATATATCTTACAGCACACTCATGTCGTTCTATATCTTATAGCACACTCATGTCGTTCTCACCAACCCATGTCGTTCTCACCAACCCATGTCGTTCTATATCTTACAGCACACACAAGTCGTTCTCACCAACCCATGTCGTTCTCGCCCACTCATGTCGTTCTCTATCTTACAGCACACCCATGTCTTTCTTACCCACTCATGTCGTTCTAAATCTTATAGCACACTCATGTCGATCTATATCTTATAGCACTCTCATGTCGTTCTCGCCCTCCCATGTCGTTCTATATCTTACAGAACACTCATGTCATTCTAAATCTTACAGCACACACAAGTCGTTCTCACCAACCCATATCGTCCGATATCTGACTGTACACCCATGTCGTTCTCCCCCACCCATGTCCTTCTATATCTTACAGCACACTCATGTCGTTCTATATCTTACAGCACACACATGTCGTTCTCACCAACCAATGTCGTCCGATATCTTACAGCACACTCATGTCATTCTCACCAACCAATGTCGTCCGATATCTTACAGCACACTCATGTCGTTCTCACCAACCGATGTCGTCCGATATCTTACAGCACACACATGTCGTTCTCACCAACCCATGTCGCTCTATATATGACTGTACACTCATGTCGTTCTCACCAACCCATGTTCTCCGATATCTTACAGCACACTCATGTCGTTCTCACCAACCCATGTCGTTCTATATCTGAAGGTACACTCAGGTCGTTCTCACCAACCAATGTCGTCCGATATCTTACAGCACACACATGTCGTTCTCACCGGTCTGTAGATAATAATCTATCCATGTAGGATAATTAGTTCATTATCTTACAGCACACACATGTCGTTCTCACCATCCAATGTCGTTCTATATTTGACTGTACACCCATGTCGTTATCACCAACCCATGTTGTTCTATATCTGACTGTACCCCCATGTCGTTTTCCCCAACCGATGTCGTTCTCACCAGCCCATGTCGCTCTATATATGACTGTATACTCATGTCGTTCTCACCATCCGATGTCGTTTTATATCTGATTGTACATTCATGTCGTTCTCACCAACCCATGTCATTCTATATCAGCCTGTACACTCATGTCGTTCTTACCAACCGATGTCGTTATATATTTGACTGTACACCCATGTCGTTATCACCAACCCATGTCGTTCTATATCAGCCTGTACACTCATGTCGTTCTTACCAACCAATGTCGTTATATATCTGACTGTACACCCATGTCGTTATCACCAACCCATGTCGTTCTATATCAGCCTGTACACTCATGACGTTTTTACCCACCAATGTCGTTATATATCTGACTGTACACCCATGTCGTTATCACCACCCGATGTCGTTCTATATCAGCCTGTACATTCATGTCGTTCTCACCAACCGATGTCTTTTTATATCTGATTGTACATTCATGTCGTTCTCACCAACCCATGTCGTTCTATTTCAGCCTGTACACTCATGTCATTCTTACCAACCAATGTCGTTATATATCTGACTGTACACCCATGTCGTTATCACCAACCCATGTCGTTCTATATCAGCCTGTACACTCATGACGTTTTTACCCACCAATGTCGTTATATATCTGACTGTACACCCATGTCGTTATCACCAACCGATGTCGTTCTATATAAGCCTGTACATTCATGTCGTTCTCACCAACCGATGTCTTTTTATATCTGATTGTACATTCATGTCGTTCTCACCAACCCATGTCATTCTATATCAGCCTGTACACTCATGTCGTTCTTACCAACCAATGTCGTTATATATCTGACTGTACACCCATATCGTTATCACCAACCCATGTCGTTCTATATCTGACTATACACTCATGTTGTTCTTACTAACCCATGTCGTCCGATATCTGACTGTACACTCATGTTGTTCTCACCATCCCATGTCGTTCTATATCTGACTATACACTCATGTCGTTTTATATCTGACTGTACACCCATGTCGTTATCACCAACCCATGTCGTTATATATCTGACTATACACTCATGTCGTTTTATATCTGACTGTACACCCATGTCGTTATCACCAACCCATGTCGTTCTATATCTGACTATACACTCATGTCGTTTTATATCTGACTGTACACCCATGACGTTTAATATCATGCAGCACACTTATGTCTTTCACATCAACCCATGTCGATCTAACCAACCCATTTCGTTATATATCTGACTGTACACCCATGTCGTTCTCATCAACCAATGTCGTTCTATATCTGACTGTACACTCATGTCGTTCTCATCAACCCATGTCGTTTTATATCTGACTGTACACCCATGTCGTTTAATATCATGCAGCACACTCATGTCTTTCACATCAACCCATGTCGATCTCACCAACCCATTTCGTTATATATCTGACTGTACACCCATGTCGTTCTTACCAACCAATGTCGTTATATATCTGACTGTACACCCATGTCGTTATCACCAACCGATGTCGTTCTATATCAGCCTGTACATTCATGTCGTTCTCACCAACCGATGTCGTTTTATATCTGATTGTACATTCATGTCGTTCTCACCAACCCATGTCGTTCTATATCAGCCTGTACACTCATGTCGTTCTTACCAACCAATGTCGTTATATATCTGACTGTACACCCATATCGTTATCACCAACCAATGTCGTTCTATATCAGCCTGTACATTCATGTCGTTCTCACCAACCGATGTCGTTTTATATCTGATTGTACATTCATGTCGTTCTCACCAACCCATGTCGTTCTATATCAGCCTGTACACTCATGTCGTTCTTACCAACCAATGTCGTTATATATCTGACTGTACACCCATGTCGTTATCACCAACCATGACGTTCTATATCTGACTATACACTCATGTTGTTCTCACTAACCCATGTCGTCCGATATCTGACTGTACACTCATGTCGTTCTCACCAACCCATGTCGTTCTATATCTGACTGTACACTCATGTTGTTCTAACCAACCCATGTCGTTCTATATCTGACTGTACACTCATGTCGTTCTCACCAACCCATGTCGTCCGATATCTGACTGTACACTCATGTCGTTCTCACCAACCGATGTCGTTCTCACCAGTACATGTTGTTCTATATCTGACTGTACACTCATGTCGTTCACATCAACCCATGTCGTTTTATATTTGACTGTACACCCATGTCGTACAATATCTTACAGCACACTCATGTCTTTCACATCAACCCATGTCGTTCTCACCAACCCATGTCGTTATATATCTGACTGTACACCCATGTCGTTCTCACCAACCGATGTCGTTTTATATCTGATTGTACATTCATGTCGTTCTCACCAACCCATGTCGTCCGATATCTGACTGTACACTCATGTCGTTCTCACCAACCCATGTCGTCCGATATCTGACTGTACACTCATGTCGTTCTCACCAACCGATGTCGTTCTCACCAGTACATGTCGTTCTATATCTGACTGTACACTCATGTCGTTCTCACCAACCCATGTCGTTCTATATCTGACTGTACACTCATGTCGTTCTCACCAACCCATGTCGTTCTATATCTGACTGTACACTCATGTCGTTCTCACCAACCCATGTCGTTCTATATCTGACTGTACACTCATGTCGTTCTCACCAACCCATGTCGTTCTATATCTGACTGTACACTCATGTCGTTCTCACCAACCCATGTCGTTCTATATCTGACTGTACACTCATGTCGTTCTCACCAACCCATGTCGTTCTATATCTGACTGTACACTCATGTCGTTCTCA